CCTAAATGCCTAAACCCTAAACCCTCCCAGCCGCTAGGCTCTGAGCGCCAGTGCCGCCGACCCGGCGGCGCGGCGCGCCGCTACGGCGGTGTCTGGTCAGTCCTTTGCTGGGTTCCTTTAAGGGATCTACAATGGTTTAGGGGGAATCTACAAGGCCCTACGGGTTAGCGGAAGGTCTTAAAAGGCTCCTGTAGAGGTTATTACGTGGACTCTAAAGAGTTGCTATAAGAGTATTTTGGGAATTGTGCAAGTGCTGTAAGGCTTGGGGATTTGGGGGGTTTGTAGGGTTTGGATATCTGTCTCGCAGGGGCCCCTGATGTAAGATTCGGGCTTTAGGGTTTAAGCTTTAGGGTTTGGGGTTCTGAATGCCTATGCTCAGGTGATGGATGAGATACGACGCTACTTCAACCGCCAGGCCTCCTTTCTGTCGCAATACCGCTTGGGGTGCAAGACTTACATCCACAGCCCTAAAGTCATCCGTAAGCCCCGGGGGCACATGACCATGCGAAGGTTGCGTCACGCGTCTGGTGCCGAAGTTTCGGGCGGGGAATGTGGGTGAAAGTCCTCTTGGAATCCATCCCAACAGGGCAGCCAAAGCTCTTCGCGCAGTAATGGCTTTGCAGCCAAGCCATCCTCCGAATCATGGCGTCAGTACAGGGGAACCCAAGAGAGCAATGAGAGCTGTTTCAGGACTTCTTCAAAGTGCACATACCCAAGAGTATCTAAAGATTTAACGTGAGTCCTGCAACAGCCCCGCGCTCGTTGCCCAAGCAGGGCTGAGCGCCCTTCTGCAAGATAGTGGAGATTAAACCCTAACCCTAAACGCTCAACCTCAACCCTCAAACTGATCCCAAAGCCCTCAGCCCCAGCCCTGGCTGTGAGGATGTCTGCGGCTCGCCCAATGCCCGCACCGTTCCTCGGCCCCAGTTGGAGGATTGCACTTACCCCCCTTCCACCAAAATGCCATGACAGTGGCAAGAACTAGACTAGGCACCAGAGCGTTGCATCTGCAAGCCCGGGGCTCAGGACCCAAAAGCCGTACTCTTCACTGAAGCAGAGGTCCGAAATTCTCAATCCTCAAACGCATAATCCTTAACCCCTAAACCCTAGGCCCTAGACGCCAAAACCGCTGAACTCTTAAGTCCTCAAGCCGCTTGACCCAGCCCCAAACCCAAGAGTCCAGAGTCCGAAACCCAAGAAACCCCTTGAAAGATACCGTGCAGAAACCCTACGCACCCTTAACGCCAAACCCTAAACGCTAAACCC